TATATATATATATACTTTATTTCAAAATTAAAACATAAAAACGTTTCGATCCTGTTTTGAATCTCCTCTTCAATATAAACTAATAATAATTAAATCTTACACCAAGAAAATATAATTATTGAAATCGTCATAAACAAAAGAAGTGCTATATGATCATACGCTGAAATTAAACTAGTCAATTATTTTTTACGTCCACATTTTGTTAACAATTGTTCATCAAATCTCAATCTTTTATAATAAGCACGTTCGGAATCTAATATCTTAGTATTACCCCAGTCCATCATATGATCCGTGTCAATTCTGTGATTAGAGATAACAGAAAGAGAATTGATAGCATTTTTATTCTGTTTTTTTATAGTTTTTAAATAACCATTGTAAGGAATATCCATTGCGGAGGAGAGTGTTAATTAAGGATATCCCTTACAATGGTTATTTAAAACTATAAAAAACAGAATAAAAACATTATCTAGAAAAAATAATTTCGAGACCATTAGCGAATATGATTTGGACTCTAACTTGAACACGGTTGAAAAGAAATTTTATTTCACTATCCCTTATTTAAAAGGAGCATCGGAAAAATTTAATAGAGCCCTTAATAAATATAAATTTGAGTTAGTGTATAAACCGATGAATAATTTAAATAGGTTTATAAAAACGGGCAAAGACAAAGTTAAAAAAGACGAACTTTCTAACGTTGTATACAAAATCAATTGCAAGGAATGTAATTATTCATATGTAGGTCAAACAAAAAGAAAATTAAAAACGCGACTAAAAGAACATATAAACGACGTTAAAAAACCTATCAATTCTCTTTCTGTTATCTCTAATCACAGAATTGACACGGATCATAATTCCATGCAATAAAGAAAGGAAGAAAACCGTACAGTCTACCGTAAAATTGGTCGAATTTTGTATTGTTATATTTTGTATTTGTATAATTTGTTAAATTTTAATGTAATCAATATTATTTTAAATCACGGATAACGATGCGAATAATGGTGCATAATAAAGACACTATAAATTATGTACTAACGAACAATACGATTAAGGGTCGAATTATGTATCTAGTTTTTAAAATAATTTAATGTTTTCAATTATAATGTACTGAAGATGGTTAGATTGTGACCGAAACGTCTACATATTGTTTGAATTGTTTAATAATATATAACTTATTTACATCTGTAGTGTGGCTGTATGCTCTTTTTCATTTAACCTTTGTAACATTTTAGCCACTTTCTAATATTTAAAAAAAAAAAAAATGAAACAATAAGATTGTAAGAAACATTTTGCCATAAAATATTTAAATTGTATTACGTTAGATAAGTGGGGAACTTGTGTTGAATTTTTCCATAATATAAATTTTCAAAGAAACTAATCAATAATTAATTTAATTATAAGTGCATGCCACTATAAAAAGAAGTGTGATTTATTCTTGTCCCTATTCAACAAACAAGAATGAATTAAAATGAATTGAAATTTTTTTTCTATCTAAATGCATATTTTAAATAGCGAATACTTTTTTTGAA